GTTACTTCTCTCATGATGCTAGGTTACTTCTCTCATGCTGCTAGGTTAGTTCACTCATGCTGCTAGGTTACTTCTCTCATGCTGCTAGCTTAGTTCACTCATGCTGCTAGGTTACTTCTCTCATGCTGCTAGGTTAGTTCTCTCATGCTGCTAGGTTACTTCTCTCAGCTAGGTCAATTGTCAGAAAACAGAGATTCTACAAAAACAGAAAACATTGCAGATAAGCACGAACAATTATATAATATTCTTGCCAGAAAACAGAGATTCTACAAAAATCAAAATTGCAGATAAGCACGAACAATTTTTTCAATATCACGTGATTGATTCTAATTGAATAACTCGATTTTCATTCATCAGCAACTATTTTATTTAAAGTTATAAATAGAGTAAATCAATATTTTCCATCAGCAACTATTTTATTTAAATTCAGTATACCTTCTTCCATTAATGGCGCAACTGGAGTTGCTTCGATCTCCATTGAAGCTGCTTCCGTCGACATTTGTAGATAAAGTTGCAGTTGAATTTTTTTTTTCCCTGGATATTTTTGACGAGCAGTTGAGTTTGCCTATAGAAAACGAGAGTTAAACCTAATCAGACGATGAAATCGAACTTCAAATTGATAAGGAAATCGAGATTGAGAAAGAATTTGCAGAGAATCGTGATTGAGGAGGAAATCTGAGATATTGTTTCCGATTTTGTGTGCGCGCGAGCTGAAGGTTTGTGATTTTTCAGCTCGTGATTTTATAATTATATATATACCTGATGCTGACCGTAGATTTAAAAGGCAGATTCAACGGTTGAGATTGGGTTTCACGTCCACATTTTAAGAGGGGGACCTATTGGAACCATCCCCTATATATATATATATATATATTTTATTAAATATTCACTTTAGTTATTTACCCCATAATCTATTCACACTTCACAGTTCAGATCAATTTTTATCTGCGTTCCATTATCCATCTACTGCAATCAAACCAAACGCCACGGGCACATAGAAGACCCCACGACCAGCTAAAGATGGAAGTATCAGAAGTCCGTAGCTTAAACCCACCGCCAGGCCAGGGCAGAGGCGGCGGAGGATACACACTTCCGGCCGGCCGATTCTCGAGCGAGGACATACTCTTCTGCGTCGACGTCGGCCCGGAGACGATGGCGGAGATGAAGGTGAACGGGCCTAACGGTAGGCCCTACACCAGATTGGACTCTATAAAGCAGGCCATATTGCTTTTCGTTCACGCTAAGCTCAGCATCAACCCCGATCACCGATTTGCTTTCTCCGCCCTCTCTAAAACAACTTATTGGGTATCAATTTATCGCTCTTTTTTTTTTCGTGTTCTTTTCTTTTTGTCTTCTTTATCGTTTTTTTCTTCTTCTTTTCCACTTGTTACTGAAATATTATTGCCATAAGTTGCTTAGAAGGTTCTTTTTAATCGATCTTGTTGGCTAGGGTTTCTTCTTTAGCTCCTAGCGCCAGTACTTCATTTCCTCTTTCCACTGGTATTGATGTGTTTGTAGCGTTTGATATGTGATTGAATGTGTGACCTAAGAGGTATGAGTTAATTTACTTATCTGAGTAACTCAGTATATTAAGCTTACACAGTTGCTAATAGAAAACATATGGAATGTACCTTCAGATTCTGTTGAAATTTGTCAAAGTTGCTTCTAGTAGTAAATGTTATGAATTAGATTAGCGCTGGCCACAGCAAATGTGTGCAAATATCTTATGAATGTTGTGACTTGTGTTCACTTTGAAAGTTTTATTATGCTATTTATGCACTGATTGGGAGAAATGGCTGCTATGGTTTTGGACAATGAACAGAAATAAATACATGGCCTCCTTGGCATGGCTAGTTGGTTTTACCATAAATTGATGAAATGACCTACAACTTAATACACCATTGTATTGTTGCTATGAATTTTCAGCCAATACGTGGTGTGTTTGGTTATTGCACCTTACTTAACTTCAAAATTGATGTCAAGGTTTCATAGAAGCTTTCCTATATGGTAATGTCAACATTGATGTGACAATGAGGTCACAATTGCTGCAAACAAACATGTTGATAATGGGAAAGGCATTTCTGTTATGATACTTATAATTGCCGCACTGTTGAATATTCTCGCTCAAGTTTACTTACAACAACTTGATGCTATTACTACTAATACCTTAGTACAGTGATTTATTACCGTGTCAAATCGATTGCTAACGTTTGCCTTGTTGTCTGAGTTCCCTTCTCCCTTTTGTGTCATTGTGAAGCTAAGGAAAGAGTTCAGCAGCGAGGTTGACTCGGCAATTGCTGCTCTACGAGGTATCTCAGTGGATTCATCTTCGAGTCCAGCAGATCTCAGTCAGCTTTTTAAAGTAGCAAATCATGAAGCAAAGAAATCTCGTGCCCAGAATCGGATATTCCGAGTGGTAAGTGAACTCGTTTAGATTTCTCTCACAACCCATATAAATTTGAGCAAGTTAATAGTTACAGATCTCCATTTGGTTTCTGGGAAAGTGAAGTAATTATTTGGTTCCTTGCGCAGCAGTTTGGGTCATGATATATTTATGGATTCATTTTCATGAGTTCTGTTTCTTCCATAAAACTCATTACATGGAACTTATAACAAAAGATATAATGGGATACAACTTGTTTATAGTTTATCATTATGCAAATCAGTTGCCACGTGCACTCAGAAGTTACAGTGGAGCAACGTATATTAATTTGCATAGATCAATTTTCTGGACTATTCACCAGTTCCAGAGCTACTTTACTTTTTCCTGCCTGTGATATAGTTTTGCTGCACCCCTATTAATGCATCTCTGTTGTTGTTGTTACATTTGGAATGTCCCCTTCCCAGTCTACCATAATGAATTATCCTCACATGTTTTATGCCGTATTTTGTGCTCAACAATTTGTAGGCAAAATTGTACCATTCCTGTGATTCTTTTTTCTTTTTATTTTTTATTTTTCCCACAGCAGCTTTAACCAAAAATTATACTTTCAATGCTCAAGTAGTGATTACGGACTCTTTCATTTCTCCATCCAATTACTCTAATAAAAAAATCTTTATTGACTGCTTTAAAAATTCTAAAAATTGGATCTTTTGCTCCAGATCTTGCTTTACTGTAGATCATCGATGCCCCCACAGTATCAACTGCCTCCAACTCTAAAACTCTTCACTTTGGATGTCATGTACCTCCACGACAAGCCGGGGCCTGAAAACTGCCCACAAATGGTGTACGACTCCCTGATTGAGGCCCTTGAACAGGTCAGCGAGTACGAGGGTTACATATTCGAGAATGGTCAGGGATTGACTCGTGCCCTCTTTCGCCACATATGCGTGCTACTGTCCCATCCCCAGCAACGATGCATTCAGGATGACCTGGACATCCCCAAGCCTTTGGTAAAGAAGTCTCTTGTCAATGACACGTCACAAGGGGATGATAATGCGGTTGTTATCGTTGGGTCCAGCCAGTGAGGTGAAAAAGTGTTCCAACAAATACTGATTTCTTGCCGTTTTTCATTTCTTTTCTTTTGAGCAACTCGGTGGCTCATGTAGTTTTATGGGATTGGAAAAATGTGGATATGTATGTATCTGTGGATTTGTTGGTGGAGCTTGCTTATTGTGTATGGCTGCTGGTGCTAATTGTTGATGTGGATTGTTAAATGAATGTTGGTTGATTTTGTGAATCACTTCCTTCTTGTACTTTTTGGTGAATGCAAAAGTATTTGTCGGAGATTGGATTGAGGTTCTGGATTTTATTTGTTTATTTATTTTTTTGAGAATGTGTCCATTGCAAATGGAGCTGGAAGAGTCATTGTTGACAATTCTCCTGGCATAGTGCTAATAATAGACTAGATCAAAAAGGCTCAATTAGATTCTAGTGCTTCTTCTATTAGTGAAGTTTCTAGAAAAAAAAAAAATATATCAAACGGCGCAATGCATTTTGGGTCGCTACGGAAACAGCCTCTTTGTATAATTACAAGGGTAAGGTCTGCGTACTACTGACCCTCCAGATCCCAACCTGTTGGGAATATACTGGGTATATTGTTGTTGTATTTATTTTTTGAGAAATTACGAGTTACGACTCATGAAACGGGGATATGTAACTGCCCTAGCTAAAAAAGTAAAGTTTATGGAAAATTCTAAGGTACCGTTGTGGTTTTCAACATAACCATACCCTGAAATTTTAACCAATTAAATAATGACACGTCATCTAATAAGATACACCACAATGCATATTATACTTCCCTTGAAGTACAGTTTTTTTCTTTAAAAAAACTGTTCCAATATAAATCATTAATTAAAAAAGCAACATAATAAAGCTATTAACAATAACAGACAATTAAAGTAAATAACTAGTATAGGGTCTTAACATAAAAAAAACATATTTAAACATTTTTTTTTTTAAAAATATTTCATTTTTAATTACTTTTTTAAAAATTGTTTTCTATTTTTATTTAAAATGACATTCATAACCTATAAGACTCATTCACGCAAACAATTTTTTTTTAAACATGCAATATAAATATGAAATTGATAATCATAAAACATGATTAGTTTGATATATGAAAACACTAAGAAATAATAAAACTATTAATTTTTAAATATTTTTATAATTCTAGTTATCAAAATACTTTATAAATTTAAAAATTCTGATAGGCATAAAAGAAAGTACCAATTTACATGAACTAAAAAATAAAAAAATTGACACATAGGATTAATACCACAAGTTGACATATAGAATCATGAAACACTAAAATTGTATGTAAAACTCTACATTTATATATAGAGATATTTAATATACACGTCGATGATTAAATATACCGACAATTTGTTTCTCAATAGAAACAATGCATAATCTAATTTTGTAAGAAAAAATAGTTTTGTACCTATTTTATGGTCCCATTTAAACGCATATTCATCAAATACTAAAGTATATGTACATCAAAAAATAATACTTTGTTTCAATTAACTCAGTACACATCGAGTGAAGTCAATTTGATTATATTTATAACTAAATAAACTTTAGATTCAATGTATGAAAAAAAAAATATTAGTTTGTAAAATTTCTTTATACATGGTATTAGATTTATGGGACACTTCTTTAAAAATCCCCAATCATTTTTCAAATTTTCATGTCTAGTCCCTAAGCATTATTTCTTTCCACTACACTCCCTACCCCTCTATTCAACTTCCATTTAAATCCCTCCTATTAAAATAACTCAAAAAGAAATTCTATTGTGACATCACCCCACTATCATTCATCTCATCCTATTATTTTATGGGAGCTTTCTTTAAAAATCCTCAATCCTAATTCAATCTTCCAAGTCAGTCCCTAGTAGAAATTTCTATCTGTTTTACTCCCTACCCCCTAATCATCTTCCATTTAAATCCCTCCTATTAAATTAAATCACAAAGAAATTGTTATATGACATCATCCCACTATCTTCCATTATTTTATTCTTTTTGTTTACCTAAGACTTCTTCCCCATTCTTCTTTCCCGCTTTTTTCTTCTTCACCGCCGGCGTCTTTATTTATTTATTTTTTTTGCAGCTTCATCTCGGTGGCGATTACAAACCGGACCCTGGGGCTTTTATCGGAGGCAACAAATCCGGCGACCTTAGGGCTTTTTCCAGCCGAAAATTCCTGTTTCTCCGGCCAAATATTCCTACTTCTCTGTCCGAAAGTTCCTATTTTTCCGCCAAGATTGTGGCTTTTTCCGGACAAAACTTGAAGTAATAAGTAATGTATGTATTATATGAGAACTTTGGAGTCCAAAAATTGTCTTTAATTCATATATTTTTGTTTCATTTGTGAAGGATTGAATTTTGAATATTTTTGCTTATATTTACCCTAAAACAAATAAAGTGATCATAATCCTTTTTTTTTGTTCATGTATACTAAATTTATGCTATTGTTAGGTTATGTTAGATGTTATTGACCATAAAACAAAAAAATAAGATGAGAATAATCATAGTACCACTATTCATGATTGTGTGTACCTATGTTTGGATATATAGTACCACTTTGTTCACTGTTGGTACCATCTGTGCTGGGAAATGTGAACATTTTTTTTTTCTAATCCAATTATTGTTAGATACATTGAAGGGGCACAAAAATTCCTATCTCTCTGTCCGAAAATTCTTATTTTTTCGGCAAGATTGTGACTTATTCTGGCGAAAACTTGAAGTAGTAAGTAATGTATGTATTATATGAGAAGTTTGGAGTCCAAAAATCATCTTTAATTCATATATTTTTGTTTGATTTGTGAAGGATTGAATTTTGAATATTGTTGTTTATATTTACCCTAAAACAAATAAAGTGATCACAATCATTTTTTTTTTTGTTCATGTTGTTTGTCCCATTTTTGTTGCTATTTTTGTCGGTATTTTTTGGTCGTTTCCCCCGTTTTAGGTCGTTTCTTAGGATTTTCCGGTCCATATAGTCATTTCGTGTGTTTTCTCTGTTATTTTGGTATGTGTCGTATTTTTGTTATTTTGTTCCTATTTTTCCTTGTTTTCGTGTTCTTTCCGCTGGTGCGATTTTAGGTTTCGGGATGACCGGTTGTTGAGCGTAAACTAAAGAAGTGATTTCCTGTCCAATTCCGAGAAGTCCCATACCGTTTCATGCGACCAAACACGAGGAGGTCAAGGTTTCAAGTCAGGCGGGACCCGGGGGACGTTAACCGAGAGCACGAGAGCTCGAAAAATCAAAATTTGGAGTTGTTCAGGCCTTAGCGCTGCTAAGGGGACTTAGCGCCGCTAAGCCCCTTTTGATAGCGGCGCTAAGTAAAGATAACTGGGACAGAGGCGCTGAACTAAGCGGCCTTAGCGCCACTAAGGAGGCTTAGCGCCGCTAAGCCCGACTCCTTAGCGAAGGAGGGTTAGCGTCGCTAACCCTGCCTGCCAGACAACAGTTTTTTCTTTTCCTCAAATTCGGGCTTGTCTTGATGGTGCTCGAGAGTGGCGAACTTTGGAGCAATATTTTCAGCTGAAATTTGGTGGTGGTGTTGGAGAAGCAACTCCTACTTATGCTCTTCTACTACATTGAGGATCATCTATCACCATTATTCATCATCTTCCACCATTTTCTTTCTTCCATTTTTTTCTAAGTTTTTTTTAGTTTGTACTTGTTTTGGAGAACTTATTGAAGACATTGTGTACCTTGGATTAAGTTTGCATTTGCTCTTGGATTTCACATTACTAGTAAGTTATCTCTTTCATTTTGCTATGTTGAGAATGGCTTATTTTTATGTGAATGTTTATGTTAAAGTTACTATGAACAATTAATCCTCTAGCTAGGGTTAGGGGATAATCGTCTCAGTATGTTCTCGTTTACGTGTATGTCAATTGCTCAATCTTTGCGAGTTTTATTAATCTTATGATTAAATGCTTGATCACCATTTTAATCTATACAATCGATTTCAAAACCGAGAGGGGCGAAATTGGTAGAACTTGGCTCGTTTAGAGTAGACATGTTCGGAAACGTATTGTCTATGTGTTAATAGTCTCGTTAATTTGTTCTTTTATGTTTATCCGCATAATACGAGATTTAGTGAGGTTAAACCACTAAATGAGTTAGTTAGACGAGCCTTTTTAACCGAGTAGTTGATTGTCGTTAAATGTGTGTAGAACCGAAATGTCACACCCCGCCTTACTACTAGCTTTTAAAAATCTGAGTAAAATTTTTGTTTTTATTTTCGAAAGAACGTGCGAGCTGGGTTTTCG